TTTTTTTAGTCTATTGACAATAACCCTTGTATATGATCTTTGTATAATTAGAAGTATAAATGATAGAATAGTTTTAATATATTCTGGTATTTTACTAGGATCTTGTAATAGTAACATGAGTTTTTCTTAAAGTATATTAGTAATTACAGCTCTAATTTCCTTAGAAGTTTATTCATTTTCATTTTGAATCTGCAGTAAATCTTTTGTATAATAGATAGTTTTGTAGATTATAAAAGAAATGTAGAATATAAGGTTAATATTAGAAAGATATTGTGAAATAAACTTTGCTTAAGTATAGAATTAATGGTTTTGTAGATAGTTATATCTGTAATTGTAATTTAGTTAATCTGTTTATATATAGCTAAAGTATTATTATATAAATTAATATATTCTTTTTGGAGAACTGAAGTAGTATTTAGGTTTTTAGTAAAGGTAGTAAAAAATCTGATATTAAGATATCTAAATTTAAGAAATATTACAGATGGAATTACAAATTCAGTTAATATAGTAACAAGTTTATAATTGATAAAATCCTAAATTCAAATAGTTATTTGAAGTATCTTAGTAATTTTCTTATATGACCAAGTTTGTTAATCAAATAGAGTATTAATTTGGTCTGTAATTCTGGTTTATATACTATCTACTTATTCTGAATTATCAATATTATTAAAACTAGGTATGTTGAACTGTTTTTGGATAATTTGGTTATATATAAGTCTAGTGTTATCAGGATTATCAGATATAGTAGTTGTAGAGATTAGTAATGTTGTAGTTATAGTATTAAATAGTTCTGATTGAAATATTGTTTATGTATTGAGTAGTTGAAATTTAGATGATTTTTTATTTTGATGTTGGCTCAATATGGATTGGATTTTGGTAGATTTAGTTGTTGATTTGATGGTTTTAATAGGATTATGTTGTAAGACAAAAAGATATTTGTTTCATTTAGTATTAGTATTCTGTATTGTCTAAGTTGTGTTATGTAATGTAGTAATTAATAGTTGAGTTTGTATAATATTTGTTATAGGACCAACAATAAAATCAAATGTTAGCTTATCATTTTATGAAATGATGTTTGTTTGTAAGAGTTCTTTATCTGATCTAGTTCTGTGATCATATTTTATAAAATAAATAGAAGATCTTTGTTAAATTTAAATGTCTTGAATTCCTTTTATATTTTTTTATATAATTAAATTGTTAGATTAAGGTCACAATTGTATATACTTTTAAGATGTTTGATACTAATATTTACAGAATTGTTTTTTATTATTATAAGATCAAAAAATATTAATTAGAAAAGATCTTTATATTTATACAACTATTGGATAGAAAATATAATAAGATTAGATATATAATAAGATTTAATAAGATTTACAATAAAAAGGTATTTGTTGACAAAGCTAAAAATAAATAAAATAACTGTAAAACTAAGTTTAGATAGGTCTTTTATATTAATATTGATGAATTCTTTTACATATTCAATAGAAAGGTTGGTGACTAGAAGTGTAGATATAATGTTGCTTAAGCTAGTAAATTTTTCAGTAAAATAAGCTAAAGGAGAAGAGAAAAAAATATCTTGAGAAATTGTTTGGTTCAAAATTTGTGACAGATTGATTTGTAGATTATCTGAAATTTTTTTGATATTTTTTGGAACTGTCATTTTATGTCTATATGTTGAATTAATAAAGATGTAAAACTCTTTAGGACCATTTTTGCTAAAGTGTAAGTTGTTTATTGCAATGCTGTTTTTGATATTATTGTAATTCAGGACTGCTAGTAAAAATTTTTCTTTAAGTTTGCATCTTTTTTAGGTCAAGTTTAGTGTATAGAACAAGTTTAATTAATGATCCAAGGTCAGTTTACTTAGTAGTTATTGCTCTATCTTCAAAATAAAAATTTTCTTCTTTTGTCCAGATTTGGTAAAGTGATCTACGAAAAGAGTTCTACTAACTTTTAAAATTATGATGCGAATCATTAAAGCATTGTAGAGATAGAGGACTTATAAAAATATTTCTTTTATCGTTAAATGCAGAAGAAATGACGCCATTAATTCAACTAAATATAAAACTTCCAAAACCCTTATTTGAATATGCATCTTATGTTACATATGTTGATATTTATAATTTAAATAGAGGCATTACGTATTATCTTTACCGTGAGGAATATGAATTTTATAATTACCATCATTGTGCCAAATATGGAAAAGAATATGAGAAGGTGAAAACAGTCGAATATTCTTAATTAAAATGTTAGCACGAACAAGTAAAAACGTTAAATATTTTGAATTTTTCACCAATAGTAGCAAATTAGAGAACATTTCTAATTTTTTTTACGAAAGTGCCACAATCACTTCCTTAAAATTTTATGATGTTAAACTTAGTTTTAAAACTATAAAAGCATTAGCAAATGTTCTTTGTAAAAATGTCAATCTGATTTCATTAACACTTTCTTACTGTGATCTTGACTTCGAGGAAGTGAAAATATTGGCAGAGGAATTTTACGAGAATTCAACTTTATTTACCCTAAATTTTTTCGATAATAAGTTTGGTGATAATGGAACAGAAGTACTTGCAAGGGCTCTTTATAAAAATACAACTCTAAGGTCTTTAGGCCTACGTTCTAACCAAATTTTTAAAAGTGGAGAAATACTTACAAAATTTCTTTACAATAATATCGTTTTAACATCTTTAAGCCTTTATAATAATAATCTTGGCGTTGAAGGAGGCAAGGCGTTAGCAAAAGCACTTTGCAAGAATATTGTTTTAACGTCCCTGAATCTTGGTAATAATAAACTTGGTTTTGAAGGAATAAAAGCTATAGCGGAAGCTCTTTGTGAGAATACTGTTTTAACTTCTCTGGATATTGGAAATAATACAATTTGTCGTGAAGGATTAAAGAATATAGCAGAAGCTCTTGGTAAAAATAATTCTTTGACCTCTTTAAAACTTGATTCTAATCAATTTGGTTTTAAAGAAATCCGGATATTGGCAGAAGTTCTTCACAAAAACACTGCATTGATTTCTTTAAATCTTGCTTATAATCAACTTAATGATAGAGTAAAAATTATAGCAGAAGCTCTTTGTGTGAATAATACTTTGAACACTTTTAAAACAACCAAATAATGTTAAACAAAAACTTAAATACAAAAATGTATATTAAACATTTTATAAAGGTGAACAATAAGATTGCTAAAATCAAAAAAATATTAATTACAAAATTTATTAAAAAATTATTATTTGGTAATTAATTAAAAACTTTATTATTATTATTAAAATATATTAAACTTTAATTTAACAAATGCTTAATGATTGACTAAGATTAAAACTTAATGAATGAAGTTTATTTCAATGTTTAAAATTTTTAATCAATGTTTGATTATTTACTAATTTTATCTTCAACATAATTCAATATAAGTTTTATTATTATTAAAAAATTTTTATCATTTGTCATTTTGTCAACTTAAAATTATTTGATAATATAGTTTTTTATTTGTTAATAACTAAAGTTTTGTTATTTGTCACCTATTACTAATTTCAAATACATACAAAATTATACGTAATGCCAAGAATATCCTCAAGTTTTTATATATTTAATAATTTTATAAATAAAATTATCAAAAGTAAATTCTATTTAATAAAAGTTTATTAAATGTATAAAAACAGATTAAAAGATTTAATTCATCATTGTTACAAGATTCTAATTTATCACCATTACAAGATTTTAAATTATTATTATTGGCCATATTTCAATAAATTCAATAAAGATTCTGTCCAAATTAGCCAACTAAATTCTTCAATTTATTGAGAGAGATGATTGTAAATGCTCTAAGACACTTGGGAATACATTAAATAATATTGTTTACAAAAACATTACAAATCCCTTCACACGCACTTAAATAGCATCTTATTGGCATTATTAGCCTAAGTTTGTATCAAAACTATATTTCGAAAATTAGTCTGTGTGCACACTATAAGTTAATGCGCATTACCATTGAATAACCATGCATAATTTTGTAAAGAATTCGTAATATATGTACCGAAATTAAGCCAACTCTTTAAAAAAAACACATTGTTTCTGATCTCCAATAATAATATAAAAATATCATTCCGCTTATAAGAAAATATCGGAAACCAAATAACATACGCTTCCTCTTAAGAATATATTAATGCATCAGATATAATGCAGTGCAATTAACACAATGAAACAAATAGTTAATGATCTTTCACAATTCATGTAATCCGTAAAATAAAACAAGATTTAGTTTTAATAATAAATATAAATTCTAAATTTCAAATTTCATAGTTTTATATGAACTTTAATGAAATCAAGGTATTATCTTTATAAAGATCTTTTGCTAATATTTCGCATCGTTTAAAACTAAGTTTATTATCACAAATATCTAAATCAATTAAGGTAGTGTTTTTGCAGAGAGCTTCTATCAGTACTTTTACCCTTTATAACCGAGTCGATTAGAACTAAGGTCCAAAAAAGTTAAAGTTGAGTTTTTGCAAAGGACTTCTGCTAATACCTGTCCTTTTTCAAAAGTTAAACCAACATTAGAAAGAATCAAATTAGTTAAAGTTTTGATTTTGCAAAGGGCATCCGCTAAAACATTTATTGCTTCATTATTTTCAAAAGAATTTCCACTAAGGTTTAAGTAAGATAAAGTTTCATTTTTGTAAAGAGTTTCTGATAATGCTTCGATTCCGCAAAATACATTCTATTATTAGTGAGGTCTAAAGAAGTCAAAGTATTATTCACACAAAGAGCTTCTGCTATAATTTTTACTCTATCATTAAGTTGATTA